TATTAACTGTGTAACATTAAACAGCACTCAGTGCTTTCGCTCTTACTACTAATGTTATTCAGACCACATCGCAAGGTCAGTGTTCGGCCCCGATTTCTCATCGTTCTCCCAATACTAATGAATTAAAGGGATCATTTCATACTAATTGCTTTTCCAGGATGATAATCCAAGCAATAAACTGCAACGAGGCGTTGCGTGTCTAAGGGGAAACACGGCCAAATGAAATAAACACCAGTTCACTTTAGATTTGAATCTGTTCAGCAGAACAGAAAACAGGCCGGTGCCTGGACAGAAAGAGGGAGCCAGCAAGGAAGTTTGAATCAATATTTCCTATTAGAGACGCTGATGCTTAAACCAACAATGACCCACGCTGAAAGAGGTCCAGGGCATTGTGTGTTCAGGTGGGAAGAGTAATTGCATTCCCTATTGAAAAGGTTCCTATGATTAAAACGAAGAATAAAAGGAAAATGCAATCAAAGCGACGGTTGCTCGGGACAAAGAATCACCCTCAAAGTTTGTGATGAAAGTTATTTTGATTAATGTGAGACTCACTTCCTTGAATGGAGCTGTGAAAGGAGCACACAGACTGGCTGTGGCTTTTTCTTCATTCAGCTATTCTTTTATTTTAAACTGAAAGCTTATTTTGCACAACATGCCTGCGTGAGCCATGTTCTTATTCACGTGTGTTTATAGCTGCCAGGTGGTGTATTGTGTTAATAGACAGATAAAAATCAGTGAGGAAATGGCCCTCCCGCCGCTGACCCTTCCACCACCCCGCCTCTATCTGTCAAGTTGTCCTCCCTCTGACTTTTCACCCTCTGATCCCCATCTCCTGCTCTGGAGTAAGAGAAAACAGACCGGCACTCCCCGAGCACATTGCAAGCCGCTTTGAGAATGCTGCAGTTATGCCTTCAAACGCGCCGCGCACAGCTCACAGGCGCTAATTGCCCTCACATATTTTCCAGATTTTTGTCCTAGATTGAGGCCGGAGGACCTCTTTGGGGCATTACACATGTGAATGAACCACTGCACAGTTATGGAATCTACCTGGAATATAAATAAGTTGTTTATCACCGATTCCCACTCACTGCTTTCCTGTCGTGCCACATGCACACCTGCAGAGTGGTGGGATAGCTAGCTAATGCTAGCTAGCTCGCTATTGTTGATGGCAACGGACCAGTGAGGCGTTCCCATGGGTCAAATTCACAGTTATGAAGGAAAACATTCCAAATACGTCCCAGTTTATTTCCTGTCGCAGTGTCTGCAAATGACTTCCACTGGACAGCCGTGCACAATGGACCCCACGCAGTTTGCGTGACAATGCATTTTTGTTGGAGAGAGTCCTACAATCCCCGCACCTTCAAACATTCGTGGGGAGGGGGAAAAAAATGTAAAACGGATTTCCGCTTGACTTTAAATGAGCCGCAGTGTTAGAATTGGACTCGTGGGGGGGGGAGCATGCAGCATACAGTTGTTATTCACACGCTGCATAATGTGCTGGTAGAATCTGATATGATACCGGGTGTATTTTTGGTAATCTCTCAACTCCTTGGATATCGCCGTATCAGTTGCAGATAACGTTTGCTGTGATAAAATGCTGCTGCAGGTGAAAAGTCAGAATCGGCGCTGTGCTGATTGCTTTCCCGCCGCCTGTGTGTCAGATGGTGGTCAGCAAGAAACTCTTCAATGTGCTCCATCCCGTCTGCACCTGCCCGCTGCTGTCCATCAGTCTGTCTGCAGCTCCTCATTCTGTCGGCAGAGCGGAGGGGAGAGGAGCGCGACTCAATAGAAGGCCTGAAGGCTGAGGGAGACCTCTCTTTTAAAGTCCCATCTGATAGGACAGCCACAATGGAGCCAATCACGCTGCTGCTGGAGTCAGTCGATCGGAGACGCTTGCGTTAAAGGGGTTAAAGGGGAGAAACACAGGAATTAGACTTTCTGGGGATCTCACTGCTGCAGATCCTGCAGACTCAGACAGATTCGTTACAATTTGATTATTTTCTTCCTTTTGCTCGTGATGAGGCATCGACAATGAAAAACAACTCTTCGGCCTGACAAAAAAGTGCTGACATCTTCATTCACGCTCTCTTACTTTCTTTTTTGCAACACTGTTGGTTAATGTCTGACCTTGTCTCCTCCGCGTTACGAGCGCTTGCCTCTGCTGGCTCCTGGGGGAATTCTGTCAGAGTGGGTGGCCAGGTGGGTCGACTGCTTCATCCCCCACGTCCATTTAAATATACCTCTCCTTAATACCACAAATCAAATTAAATTTAGTATCCAGCACATCTACTGTATATCAAGTTGTGGGTTTGGCTTGAAATTTCTAAGCAGCCCTAATTACTAAATAACAAAATCACATTGTTAAATATGATTTAAAAGGCTGCGTATTTGTTTCTAATTAACATTTGTGTAAATCCACGCAGGAAATAGGTGAGGTTGAATGTATTTGGGTTAGACCACTGTTTGTGTCATAAATGAATCCAGTCACGTAACAAAGAGGTTGTAAAGGACAGGGTTGTTTTAAGGGCACTGTTATTTTCACGTATATCATAGTGAATACATTCTGTATAATGTCTGCTTATCTGAGTCAGTGAAGGACAACGCTGGTGTGTTATTCATGCCGTCAACAAATCACCCTCTAGCTCATTTGTTTCTGAATATGTGAATCTTAAAAGGACTTTTTTTTTTTTTTTTCATAAATGCGAATGAGAAATCCGTGTCTCATTCGTTTGACAAACAACAACAAATAATCGGCAGAAGATTACTAAAGTCCACAGGATTTTTTTTTTAGGGGGCGGGGGGCTCCAAATAGTAGTAAGGAGCAGCTGAAAACAACCTTTAAAGACAACGATCTGTTTGGCACCGATGAAGAATACCAACGCAGCCGCGGAGGCGATGTGCTATGTCAGTGCTGCTGTCCTTTTTTTCTACGTTGCCCCAACGACAAACATTGGGACTGAATACTTTACTCGCCGGTCGACACAGAGGAAATATATTAGGCCGAAACTCAGGCGCCATGTGCCTATTAGATTATTCCCCATACTGGGAGCGAAGCCTCTGTGAGCGCTGGCGATCAGGTGGCATTAGGCTCCACCAGCGGAAGCGTCAGCGAGGCAGACACGGCCGTACATGTGTAGATACTCTCAGCCATCATCCCAGACACAATAATGGAAAAACCAGATACCTTATCAAGCTCAACTGTCGGGCCTGAGACGGAGCCGTGGAGATTGAGTGTGGGACGTGTGTGGATGTGTGGCGGTGCGAGGCGTGCGGTCGGGAGGAGGTGCATTGTGAGTGTGAGTGAGAGTGAGAGGACAGAGGGGTTATTTGCAACTTCCCGAGGTTTGTTTGCAGAAGAGTCCCAACTGCATCATGTCGGCTTTGTTACAGGGAGAGTGCGGCATGCAGGGTTTTCTTTCTGCTCTTTATCCGAGATCCTTGGAGTGTTTCTTGATTGGCGCTGGAGATCCACCCACTCCGGATTTGCTAATGAGAAAAGCCCCGAGGACACAGAAACTCAGCAGATATTACTCCCCGACCTTTGAGAGGCTTGCCGGGGAGGCTGCGGCGCGGCGCGGCCGCGCGTCGGCCTCCTCGGGGCTGCGCTCGGGGACGAGGAGTAACACTGGGGAGCCTCGTTATGTGCGCAACATCAAAACGAATCAGCCTCCGTCCGCCACCCCTCATCTCAGGCCTCAGACTGCGGGCTGCAGGGCGAGCGTGTGGAGGTAATGAGACCATGGTGCTCCTCCACTATGAGACTCCAACAGCTACTGGTGCCCCGGGGATGTCCGTGAGACAGGCAGCGAGGAAAAGAAAGAGTGAAATGAGGGGAAAAGAGAGTGTTAGGAGCGGGGAGAGAGACCAGGCAGTCCACCTAACCAGCTGAAGTGGAAGTTATCCTTATGAAGTGTGTGTGCTGGTGTGACTCACACACTGCCAGGGGTTCTCAGCGGTGCCAAGCTGTGTGGAAGTTTCTCTCGTTGCCAACAGGCGTTGGGCAGTCAAGCCTCCCCACAGTCATGCAGAAAGATTCATCACTGAATCTTCTCTTAATACTGAGTTTATAGACAAAACGCTGATCAACGATGGAAATATCACAATAACGCGGCTTCTGTCGCGATCGCCAGGTGATGTGGTGGTTCGCTTCTGTACAATATAGATTATCTTTTTGTTTTTAAACAGTTTTACTGCTGAATCAGATCGACATCCCAAATATATCATTCAAAATGTTATTGTAACATTCAGCTTGC